AGTTGTATGAGCCCCTAATAAAATGGTTTTAAAAAAAAGAAATGTGCAGAGAGAGACAGAGGGCTAATGGTCCAGCGGGGCTGGGGTGTCTTTCTACACTGTGACGGTTGCACAATCCATTCAACTGTACACTTAGAGTCCCTGACTTAAACGTGAAAGACGAAGCAAACCAAACTTTTGTCTTCTTTCCCAATAGAAAAGCAAGAGCTGGATCTCAGAAGATGATTTCTACCGGCCTCCCCCGGGGCAGCCCCCAGAGAGTCTCTCTCAGCCCTCCCTGGCTTCACCCAAAGGGACTCCAGAGTCCAGGCCTGGTCTCCACAGGCACATTTCACAAGGGCCCAGAAAAAGCCACTCCATGGGGGCCTTAGACCAAGCGTGTGTGCCTTCCCCAGCAAGCAGCAGAATCAAGGCAGCCGCTGTGCAGGAGCATAAGAACTTCTGGGTGGTGCACCGGAGGCAGATGGGTATGTGACGCGGGCCCCAGGCCATCCTCAGTGTGCTGTCCACCATCCACCAGGGGGCTCGGTCCTCACAAGGAAACCCTCACCCCAGACTGTAGTAATAAGGAGCACTCAGCCTGGAGTCATGCAGGAACGCATTCAGGAAAAGTACTCTCTCTTTTCTTAATAAAATTTTAGTAGAATAGTACTTACAACTGTCAACAGTCCAGAAATGCTGCTTCCTGTATTGAAATGGAAAGTACTCCCCTGGAAGTACTCTGGAAACACGGGACTGTAGAGCCCTTTCATTTCTCTTTGTAGCGGGAGAGGACTCTCCCCGCCTCCCCGTGTGTGTTAGCTGCTCCTCCCAAAGGCCTTTACCTGAGGCGCTTGATTTAATGGCTGGCTTGGGCAGAGTTGATCAGGTCTGCTGTGGCACCGTAGTGTCCTCTACCTGCTGCTTACCAGAAGGGCAACGTGGTCGCCACACCTGGGACATTCCAGAAGCCGTCCAATGACCGTAGCCCTCATTTTCCTGTAACCTCATAGTGAGTTTCCTCTAGATAGCACACAATCAACAGTATGTCCTCCAGTCATCCTTTCTGCCCACTTGCTGTTTGCTGT